GTTACTTATCTTGTTACATTCGTAGTGAGTCCAACTGAGTCGCAGACGTTGTCTTGGGAGCAACACTATTTATTTCACCAACTCAACATAACATAACACAACCTACACTCGGGTGTTTAATGCCTATCTAACCACGCTACGGCAGAACTAGACACAGTTGGCTATCCCGGTCCGGACCACAAGCTGGGTCCTGGACCGCGTGGCTAGAGGCTTCTTTTACCCGACGTGGATCGTCACCAGCCACACGAAGAACCCCGAGCCCCTCACGGGGCCCCCGTTATATCGGCCTGGGCCGGGGCTGGCTCCGCCCCTCGCCCCGCCCACCTTCTAGATCTCTCGAGCTCTTTCCCAAAGGCTCCCGAGAGCTCTTTTATACCACGTGACTGCCCAGCGGCCCCCGTCCACCGGTGGCCCCCCTCCAATATAGTCCGGTCACGTGTGGGCAGGTCAACCGGCGTATCATGCCCCAACGTAACCCTGGCTGGCTGACGCTCCCTCACCGGGAGCTCGCACCGTACACTGCACGTGGTGCCTCTGCGCTGACCAGCGCTCACCCAAGCTCCGCTAGGGCTGGTGGTACTACACTCAGTAAGCGGGCTGCACATAATGACAACACAACCGCCGTGGCTTCGTAAGCCCGGCACCACACAGTGATAGTCACAGTCACTACACATTTATTACAATTTGAATCTGAGCTGACATTCAATTCGCCCGTAATGGATTCACGAATCCGACAACCTCTTGAACTTACTTGGGGGTGGGGGGGGGGCAGTGAAGGAGGGGGTCGCTGCACTTTGTGATTTAGTTTTCCCTCGCCTAACCCCCCACCGACCAACCCACTCACTCAGGTGGTGCACAGCCTACTGCGGCTGGGCGTCCCGGAGAGCAGGGCCCTCCTGCAGGGCGCCTGGGCCGTCCTCCGCGTCAACGTGACGGCCCTCAGCGACGCCGACGCGGCGCTGTGGTTCAACGCGAGCCAACTGGGCCCGCTCCTGCCCGGCCTCGATGCCGCCACAGCTCTCTCGGTGCCCCTCGCCATCAGCTGCAGCAAGTTCGCCACCATGTGAGGGCCTCGGCTGGACACGTGCCATTGTTTGAGTGATGAAACTAAAACAAGCTACTACCAAACAGTTTTTTTTAGTTTTTGTGTATTTCACTGGGTAAGGCCCTCCCCACCCCAGGGACGTGCGGTCCCTGGGGTGGGGAGAGCCTCACCTGTCATACTCCAATGAAAATAGCTGTTACGAAAAGTAAAAAAAAAGAATAATCAAATAAAATAAATATTAAGATTTTTCCACTGATCTGTGTTATAAATGTCATTTCTGTATGATTCCAATCATTTTTATAGTCAAAATCGCCAAATTTGCGGAGCTCCGCTGCAAATACAGGAAGAGACGAGAGAGGTGAGGCAGCGACGTGCTCAGCCTCCCCTCTGATTGCGCAACCCCTCAGTAACTGGATGGAGCGCGGACAATAAGCGCGTGCCTGTTACTATCTCAGGGTGTCACCAATGTAATGTTTGTAGACCCCTTCATTTCACGTCTTCGCCTTCCATACTCCAGGTAACTTTTTTCACTTATGTATATAAAGATATTTAGGCTCACTGGTCTCGTCATGAAACTGCAATGAAAAAGCACCAAGGGAGGCAACTATCACATCTGCTTCACTGAGGGGGACGTGTCTAACACATACCACACACACTCACGCACACCACACACGCACACCACACACACCACACACACACCACACACACACCACACACACACCACACACACCACACACACCACACACACACCACACACACACCACACACCACACACACACCACACACCACACACACCACACACACCACACACACCACACACACACCACACACACCACACACACGCACACCTACTTTGTGCCCACAGAGTGGGAGCCTTCAGCCGCAAGACCTACAGCGGCTTGGACGTGGACGTACGCAGGGCCATGGTCAATATGAGCCTGCAGTTCTACCAGCCCACGGGTTCGTGCTGCGGGTCCCCCTTGATCCCCTTTGCCCCGGGGATCCCAATTACCACCCAACTCAGCGGGGGAATCGGGGGGCAGTCGCGGTTTCTCGGGTTGCCACCGCGTGACGTTCGGCCTCAAGGCACGACGTTCCGCTCCACGTCCCCGGGAGCTTCTTCGCCCCGAGTAGAACTTCGTACGCGGGCGCGGTTGGCTACATACGGTGCGACAGAAGTTCAAACGTGTACGTGACGCCAGGTGACCTCCTCGTGACCCCGCGTTGCCCCTTTGGGTGACCCCTCTCACGACCCCGCGGTAATTCCCCGCGTGACACCGCATGTCCACGTGTCAGTACCTCCACCCCTCCCCCACCGTGTGTGAACCGCTGTGACCTTACACGACCTCGGCGTGACCTTGCTTAACCCCGGTGTGACCCTCCCCCCCTCCCCCACCGCGTGTGAACCGCTGTGACCTTACACGACCTCGGCGTGACCTTGCCTAACCCCGGTGTGACCCCATGTCAGTCCCCGCCAGGTGCAGCGTCGCCGTGTCCAGCGAGGAGCTTCTGCGCGTCTATCTGGGCCTCTTTGGGGAGCAGGCCGAGCTGGCGGAGCTGAGCCGCCTGCTGCCCACATTCCAGCCGGTGAGCGCTGCCCCCACTGTCGTCACCCACCACCACTACCACTCACCACTATCACTCACCGCTACCACTCACCACTACCACTCACCGCTAGCACTCACCACTACCACTCACTGATACCACTCACCGCTAGCACTCACCGCTACCACCCACCGCTACCACTCACTGGTACCACTACCACTCACCACTACCACTCACCGCTACCACTCACCGATACCACTCACCGCTAGCACTCACCGCTACCACTCACCACTACCACTCACCACCACCACTCACCGCTACCACTCACTGATACCACTCACCGCTACCACTCACCACTACCACTCACTGATACCACTCACCGCTAGCACTCACCGCTACCACCCACCGCTACCACTCACTGGTACCACTCACCACTACCACTCACCGCTACCACTCACCGATACCACTCACCACCACCACTCACCGCTACCACTCACCGATACCACTACCACTCACCGCTACCACTCACCGATACCACTCACCGATACCACTCACCACTACCACTCACCACTGCCACTCACCAATACCACTCACCACTACCAGTCACCGATATCCCAAGACCCTAACCGTACCGCCCCACTCACCCCTACCACTCACCTGTCCCCCACGACCCTAACCCTGCCGCCCCTCTCAACCCATCATTCACCTGCCCCCCTGCGGCAAGATGCAAAACCAAATTTGAACGCGATGCATTTTAGTGGTGTGCAGAGTCAATGGTAACTGGGCTGAGACAACCAGCTCGCTGCAGCTTCATCACAACTCAGCCAGGTTTGGGCAGCTGAAACCTGGATTCAAACCCAGGTTATCTCAGCGGGGGGCTGGCTCAGTTACAGTTGAGAACACACGTGGCTGAGAGCCTGGTGTTCGAACCCCGGTTCTGAGCTGTGCTAGCTCAGCGCTGTGAACTCTCGAGCCAGCCAGCCACCTCCTCCTCAAAGGTATTTTGCCTCTGCCCGCAGCGAGGGGAGGGCGTGAGCGCGCGGCGTGCGACATCGGAGGAGAAAATTCAGACGGCGCGCGCACGCACGCACGCACGCCGTTCCACTCCGTAACTCGACCCGCACGAGCGCGCTGGCGTTACGATCAACGTCACAGGCGTCTCGGGTGATCGATCGATGATCCGAACGTGCGGCCGTTGGCTCCCCTGCCGCCGTGGCTACCGTCACCGCCGTTCCTCGTCGGTGTCGCTCGTTGGCCCCTTCTGCCCGCGTCGGAGGGCTCGCCCAGCCAGACGCGCGGACTGTTTTCTCTCATGCGCCTCCACACCGTGTTCGTCCACCACCACCACCCCGCTCGTCACAACTCTCCCGCCTGGAATTCACACGGAAGTTTGGAATTCCGTTCCCCACCCGCCCCCCCCCCCCCCCCCCCGAGCTATTACCACACCCCGCTCGACTCGAGCAACGCGCTTCCCGCTCTTCACTGTTACACTTACGGTGGCGCTGCTTGTTGCTGGCCGCTGGGCGTTTTGGGGCCTTTGGCACCCTGTGCTCAGCAACCGTGATTCCATATATACACACAAAAAAACAAATGTCAGCAATTGTGTCATATTTATTTAATCAATTTGCTTGTTTGTTCGGAGAGAAAAGGTCAAGTTGCGGCACAAAGCGTTGTGCCGCAGGCAAGGGAAATCTCCGCCCAGGTGGTGCCAAGAGGGCGGTGGGGGGGGTGGTGTGTGACGTGCGTGTTCGTGAATGTCACCCCCAACGCGGCCAACACGCCCGTGGTGGCCGTGATGCGCGTACGTGGCCTGCCATCCAGCACTGTGGAGGCAGCGGAGCGGGGGGGGGGGGTGTCGTACAAATCGTCGTGAGAATCCCATTCCCGTGGGGCGTCGTATGCCGGCTCGCCCCGGGAGTCGACAGGACAACAACAACGACAAAATGTGGACTCCGCCTCGCCTCGTCCGCACGGGATACAGTGTTTCCCCCTCGCACGCGTGCGTTTATCCGCCCTCCCCTACCCGGGTGCTCCGGTTTCCTCCCGCGTGTCAACACTCGGCCCGAAAACATTCTTAATATACAGGGGACCGCAGAGCTTGGGGTACTTGCCGGCACCAGCTCACTGCCTGGCTGCCACCTTTCCCCGCTTGCCTGCGGCTCCTCGCGCCCCTGCGTTGTGCGGCGAGCTACCAAGGTGACGTTACGACGCGACATAGGTCCCAGTGTCAGTGTTGGGCCGGAGGGGTCCAGTCTCCGCCATCCTCCTAAGACGGCGGCACTCAACCCGTGGGTCTTTCCGGCGGGGTCAGGGTGGGTGGGCGGGAGGGGGGGGGGCACAGGCTGCGGCATGCATACCGTGCAGGAAAATTTTAAATAAAGTACTCGGTAGCCTCCTGTAGGCGAACGGCATGCCGCTACGCTACACGGCCGCTTACGGAGTTCATCAGAGGGACATCCCAACACATGGAGGTCTCTCTGCCGCCAGCGCTGATATTTGGCGTGTAAAATCATTTTGAGACTAAGGCCTGCATCATCTGCGGCCATTATTCAAAGGATTTTACTTTTACCATCAGTTGGGCTGGGGGGGGAGGCTAAGGGGGTGGGGTTGGAGGCGCACGGGAATCGATTGGGGGGCTGGCGAAGCATCGTGGCCCAAATTAGAAAAATAATCGGAAAGCGCGGCAGCCGCTGTGAATCGGACAGCGGCCTACGGCTACGGTCAACACACCCGCGGTACTAACCAGGGCGGCCCACGCCGCATTCCAACCACGAACCTCTGCAACGAGCGGCCGGCGGACAGGGTGGCCAGGGCGGGGGGCGCTCCCCGCCCTGCCGCGTCGCCTGTAGGATTTAACCGCACGCCACAGTGTTGCGTTTCGGCACGTCGTAAAGCGTTCAGCGGGTATTTCCGAGCCCCTCGGTGAAATCCGAGGTCCCCCGGGCTGCTAGCCCCCGCAACCCCCTTGCGGCGTTAACCTTCGCCTTCTTGCTCTCGCGTCGCCCGTCCGTCCTGCAGCTGGAAGCGCTGGGCTACCTGGGGGCCGAGCAGCTCGCCGTGCTGGCGGCCCAGCCGGGGTTCCTGGGCAACTCGAGCCTCGTCATCAAGATTTTTGAACTTTCCCTGCTGTCCTACGAGTCCGCGGCCACCTTCCTGGACAAGCTCATTGCCACCGTGAGAATCGCCCGCTCGAGCTCCCGACCCCTCGCTTGCGCTTTGGGGTGCCGCGATGGCGACGTGTTAACCGCCTCGCCTGGCACACAGGAAGTCGTGGCTTAGATCCAGACCCTGACTATGCCTGTTGTATATTTGGAGGTTGCATGTCTCTCTCTCTCTCTTCCCCCGTGGTCGTGTGGATATTTCTCCGGGTCCTTTTGTTTTTCCCCCTTCATTTAGAATCAATATTCACGCGTTTAGAGTGTTCGCCTGTGATAAATTTGCACGCGACAAGCCACTTCGTTGAGCTGTCACTTGTGGCCAGGTCGCTTCTGAAAACAGAGCTATATAGCTCAGTGGGCCTTACCTGCAAAAACTTGAATAGTTTAGTTTCAGTTTACCGACGCTCTCGGTTCACGGTCAGAGCAGACACCCGCGTTCGTTCGGATCTTCTCAATGAAACATCCCATTCGGGTTAGCATCACGTTTAGATGATTGAACACAAACCTACCAGGTTATTGTATTCAAAGGCTGCTTTCATAATGTTGCAGTAGCACGGTCGGCTTACTTCACGGTGCAACATCATTTCAACGTACATACGTGGGCTGCCCCCCCCTCCCCCGCCTTTCCACGCAGGCCAATCCCTCGACGCTGTCCGACCTGAACCTCGACGCCAAGCGCCTGGTGCTCACCTTCGTGTGGGCCCTACTGGAGCCGCGCTTCCCCACGCTGGGCGAGGCCGAGTGGGGCGGCGCGTGGCTCTCGCGCCGCCTTCCGCCGTTCCTCGTCGCCATCCAGCCCTATCAGGTGGCCTCCGTGCCGGCCTCGTTCAACTGCTCCGCTTTCCAGGCCTTGTAAGCGGGGCGGCCGCGAACGGGGGGGGGGGGGGGGATCATCGCCGGGCACGTGGGGGTCAGGGTCACGGTTTGGAGAAGGGGCGGCGAGTGGTCAGTTTGGCCCCTCTCGTGGTGGCCTTGGGGTGAACTATGGTGTCTCCTATCTTTCTGTCCTGCCGTGATGGACCGGGACTCAAAGTCGACCCAGGCCTTTTTAAACTCACATCGGAGCTGTGGGCAAGAATTTTTTAGTATTTTTTTAATGGGTTGTGCGACAAACTGTATACGAGATGTTGCGATGTGACAACGTGTTTGCGTGATTTTGCCATGCGATCTCATTGGTCCCATTTGGGCTGGGTCCAAAAAACAAATGGGGCGTGTGAGGAAGAATCTTTGGGGCTGCCGAATATATGGGGACTTAATGCCAACTAAAAGCATAAATAAGCAATGAAGCGAACACATTAGAGGTAATAAAACACATTTATTTGTTCTGATCACATTGGCAATTTCCCTGGAATGGACCGGCCCATCGAAGCATTTGCCCGGACTGCCATATAGCCTGTCTAGGCCTGCTGTCCTGTATTTCCCAAGTCCCCGTGTCTCCCTTGTGCCTTTGTCTCCAAGTATCACTTTTGCCTCCCGTGCGCAGCTACGACAGCTTCGAGAGCCTCTACGACCGCCTGCCTGTGCCCGTGCGCACCGAGGTCGCCCGCAAGATCACGCAGCTACTACAGCCAACAGGTGGCCACCGCCCACTCGAGATGGGAAACCCGCCACCCACCATCCTCCTCCCACCACCCTCTATCAACCACTCTCTACCCACCACCCCCTCACACCACCCACCACCCCCAAACCGCCACCCTCCATTCTCCATCCTGCATCCGCTCCCCTTTACCCACAACCCACCACCCCCTACCCACTACCATCTACCCGCCACCCACTACCTCTAACCCACCACCCTCTACCCACAACCCACTACTTGCCACCCTGGCATGGTCAGGCTGGAGTGTTGCGCGGTAACTTGTCGGAACGGCAGCGTGTTTGTCGCTCTTTGCAAATGTCCACGGTTCGAGCCCAGTGGCTGCGCCGGTTAACGCTGCGGTGCTTAGAAACCATTTATGCTACGCGCCTGTCTGCTTCACAGTGGACGTCACAGGTGACTGCAAGGTCATTCAAAGCCTTCAAATGACATCACGCTGTTTGTCCTGTGTTTGGTGCATGGCGGCAGTGGCCGAGAGGTGCGGCAAGAACGTGACGAGCGAGGATCTGCTGCTCAAGTACTACGGCTTGTTCTACCGGGAGGCCAACTTCAGCGACTTCACACAGCTCCTACCCAGCTTCAACGGGGTGAGCGCCCATCTCGGACTCGAGGCCGCGGACCCAGGAGGCCGAGAGCCGCAAGCCTAGGCCCAGGCCAAGGCCCCAGAGCCTTTTAGATCGAGGTCCTGTGTGGACTAGTCAAGGCAGGATCCTCTAGGCCAGCGATTCCCAAATCTCTGGGACAATGGAACACCGTTAGCTCTCGGAGAATTCTGACGGACCACCACGCGGTAAATAAAATATGGCTTTGTGAGATGTAAAAAAGAATGTCGCATCTGAAACAGATCCTTGCGAAACATTGCGGAGCCCCAGTGGTCCCCCCGATAGCGGCCGTATGTGGCGCTGGCCAACATCGGCCCCTCTGTGCGCTGTGCCGGCCTTCATAGGCGCTACTCGCTTACATCACTTGCCCCAACGGTCTGTTGAAGGCTATAACGGAGGGGGATCTTTGCCTTTGTTTTGCGCGTGCATGCCCATTTACTCATGCGTTTGTGGGTGCGTGCGCGCGTGGCAGAGCGCGATGATGACGTCGTCCACCAAGCTGACCGCGTTGCAGCTCGCCGACCTCCTGATCTCGCTGGGGCCGCGTGGCACGCGGGCCGACGCCACCCAGGCACTGGCGCAGTTCAGCACTTTGCCCTGGCCCTCGTCGGACCTCGTTGCATTCACAGAGCGCATCGGCAAGGTGAGGGTAGCGTCGCCACGCCGTCCGCACCCGTCTCGCTCCCTCTCCTCCTCCTCTTGCCTCTTCCACCTCTGCCTGCCTCCTCCTTCTCCTCCTGCCTCCTCCACCTCCTCCATCTCCCTCTGCCTCCTCTTGGCGCCTCCGCCACCTCCTTCTGCCACCTCTTCCTGCCTCCTCCACCTCCTGCCACCTCCACCTCCTCTTCCTGCCACCACCACCACTACCACCGCCACCATTGTCTTTGCGCAGGGTGCCGGGCAGTTGAGCGACGAGGTGCGATCCGAGCTCGTGACAGGGCTGTGGGGGCACCTGACTCCTCACCTCGTCAAGATGAAAGAGGTAGAGCTGAGCACGTGGATGGGCCATCTCCTTGGGCCCCTGCTACCTGCCCTCTCGCCCAGCACCCAACTCTTCCCAGCCGGACTCACCTGCTCGTCGTACCTCATCATGTGAGATGCAGCTCAGTCTTCATCAGGGGCACGACTCGGGTTTCTGCCCTGTGCACAGGCACTGCCTACAAAGGCATCAGCAGCCAATCACAGTGGTCTCTCACACTACCTACAGAGGCATCAGCAGCCAATCACAGTGATCTCTCACACTACCTACAGAGACATCAGCAGACAATCACACTGATCTCTCACACTGCCTACAGAGGCATCGGCGTCCAATCACAGTGGTCTCTCACACTATCTACAGTGCCATCAGCAGCCAATCACACTGATCTCTCACACTGCCTACAGAGGCATCGGCGTCCAATCACAGTGATCTCTCACTCTACCTACAGAGGCATCGGCGTCCAATCACAGTGATCTCTCACACTATCTGCAGGGCCATCAGCAACCAATCACAGTGATCTCTCACACTACCGACAGAGGCATCGGCGTCCAATCACAGTGATCCCTCACACTATCTACAGGGCCATCAGCAACCAATAACAGTGATTTCTCACACTACCTACAGAGCCATCAGCAGCCAATCACAGTGATCTCTCACACTGCTTACAGAGACATCAGCAGCCAATCACACTGCCGATTAATCTGCACTCCACGTGTTCATTTTTCTAACCCTCAACATAATTCAAAATGTCTACATTTATCCTTGCTGCTTTTGCAGATTTTTAAATTTTTCAAGTAAATTGATGAGTGCATTCATTGGTGACTTGAGATCATGATGCTTGAAAATCCGGTTTAATCTCAGGCAATTACCTGGATTTCAACTCAAGCTCTCAACAGTCCCTGCTCAGTTACCTTTTTTCCCCCCAAAAATCAGCTGCTCCCTGGCCGTGCCGGGCCAGCCCAGTGTGACTCGGCAGGTGCCATTTTTTTTTTCCACTGCAGAAGCAGTGCCGTGCCGCTGATATCACAACAAGATCAACGAGTCGATAGACCCCGCCGCCAGGCCCTGCTTGGACCTAAGTCAGATTTATGGTTTCATCGTTTCGGTTCTGGCAAATGCCCAGCGTGGAAAACCCCACCCATTGCCGTCCAATGCCCCACGCTGGCTTGGCTCGAATGCAGCAGTGGAAAAAGAGGATTAAGAAGCGCCCGTTTAGCTCCCGAAGCCGCGTAGCCACCTCGCCAATTGACGAGAGCCTCGGCCGCCCTGTCTCGTTTAACCGAGGCTAACGGTCGCCTTTTGCCACCCAACAGGACGGCTGCTCTCAACAACTCCTACGACAATTTGTCCGCGTCCACCCAGCACAGCGTTTACCTGCAGACGAAGCAGTACCTGATAGGTGAGAGCTCCGTGCCCGTGGCCTTGAGTCAGGCCTCAGCACGACCCACCCACCCACCCACTTCCCCCACAAAAACCCAGCCTCGGGCCGCCGTGTGTGTATGTGTTCACCGATGGGTAGAGCCGTGCTCTCTGAGCTGGGCTGTCCGAGCTGGACTCTCTCTCTCTGGTCACGATTATCGGTTCAGTTTTACTCGACTAATCGGTGAGCACGGAAAATCGGTGGAAACGAAAAGTCTCGCCCCTCCGTTCCCCACACGTGCCGCTGTACGGAGAGGTGGCAGGCGAGGGTCGGTGACGTCATCGGTCCGCCTGTGGCGTGTCGGTGGTTTCGTGCCTTCAGAGTAGTCCATTATAATTCTTAGTCGATGTGTGTCTCGCTCTCTCTCGTGGCCCGCAGTGGAGAAGGGCTGCCCCTTGGCCAACGTGACGAGCGGCACCTTCCTCTCCACGTACCTCGGCAAGTTCAGCCGCCAAGCCGCCTTCTCCGAGTTCACGGAGATCCTGCCGACCTTTCAACCCGTACGTGCACACAGTGAAGCCTCGTGACCTTTAACCTTCCCCCGCACTGCACGCGCATGTTCACAATTAACCCCCCTCCCTGCCACCCCCCCCCCCATCAACCGTCGCTCTCCCCAGTTGCAGGTGCTGGAGCAGCTGAGCCCTGCGCAGCTCGGTGAGCTGGCGGGGGTGCCCGGGCTGCTGAACAGCACGGCCGTCGTGGACCAGATTTTGGCGAACGTGCACGGCATGGCCGAGCTGTCGAGCTTCATGGAGCGCTACACCAACGCGGTGAGCCACGAAGACTAGGCACAGGCCACGGCCCGGGAGCCTTTCGGGTTGAGGCACGTGCCCCGGCGCCATCGCCCGCTGTGGTGCCAACGAGGACACCGTTAAGCCGGCAAGTTGTTGTCTGGTAATTCCCGCTGCTGAGCAAGGGCCCTGCCAAAATTTTTTTCCCGTTCCTCCGTGAAGAAGGAGGAATCGAACACGCAATTACAGAAGGTCTTGTGTTGTGCGTGCACGTGGGGGAGCAGTAGTCCAATGGTTAGCGCTATGCTGTGCTACGAACCCGGTGACCCGAGCTAGATTCCCGATCAAGGCCAACGTCGGTGACGATTAACTGAACCGGTCTTGGGCCTCCCCTCGACTCAGCCTCAAATGAGCACCTGGTGCGATGTGTAAGCATCGCTACTGGGGGAGACAAAGGCGGTCGGGCGTGGCGGTAACCACCCACCCCCTCGTGTGCCTCGTGAACAGCACTTGCCCCAACAGACTGTCAAAGGCTACACGGAGGGATATCTTTGTCTTTTGTGCGCGCAGAGCACGTCGCAGCCCAGCGTGGAGGTTCGCGCACGCATGATGAGTCAAGTGTGGGGGACGCTGGGCCCGAGCTTGGCCACCCTGCCCGACGCCCAGGTGTCCGTGTGGTTTTCGCGGTACCTCGCCCAGCTACTGCCGACGGCCACGGCGGCCCAGCTCGCCTCCCTGCCGCCATCGCTCAACTGCTCCGCCTTCCAGGCCACGTGAGTGAGGCTCCGCGGCGACAGTCGGTCAAGCAGGCACGCGGCGGGTGTCTGTGCTGTGCCACCAGCGGTCGTCTCCCCCTGGATTATTGGGTAGATTACATACGCACGTTGAACTTCTTCGGTACCGGAGGTAGCCAACCATGCCAATCGTAGGTGAGGGGGAAGGGGCAATAAACTAAACACAAAAAAACTGTTCTAAGAGGAATGAGTTTTCAGTCCAGACTTAAAAGATTGAAATGCATGGGGAGATTACAAACGGACTCTCTTGCCTCGTGACCCGACGGCGGCAGTCTGATTGAGAACGTTTGACCGACGAAGGCCCGGCCAACTGCTCGACAGCACCGAACTCCGACGAGTCTCTCGGATTGAATTCCCGCGCGCGGTGCCAAACCCCGCCCCCACCAAAAGACCGTTTCCTGAAACTCCGGTGGCTCGATGTCTCGTGCCGCGTGCAGCGTGGGAGGCCTGGACGGGGCCTACAGCTCCCTGAGCGTGGACGCACGGCGCGTGGCCTACCTGTGGATGTCTCGCTTCCTCTCCGGTACGACCTTCCGGCGAGTTCGCTGGCCTTCAGTTGCAAACGCGGCCAGCGGCCTCACCCCGATCTGCACCGCCAGCTTCATTTCTCGTCCAGTGCCATCCTCTCTCTCCACTGCCTTCTGTCCTCCGCTGGTCTCGCTGCATCGTCCGTCTCCATCCCCCGTCGATTTGCTCGCATCATCTGTCCTCGCAATGCTGCCGTCGCGTCATCACCGACTCCCCATCGCGTGCTCTCTATCTCCCGTTCAGTCCTCCCCACAGAGGCCCCGCGCTGTGGGGTCCCCGCTGGCACCGCTTCAGGCTGGATCCCTGCCAACCTCGGCCACTTTGTGCTGCTCGCGAGCCGCACTGACCTGCAGGGCTTCCTCACCGACGCTCAGCAGGTGAACCCGCCGCCTACACCACCGTGGCGAGATGTTAACTACCTCGCCTGGTATGCAGGAGGTCGTGGGTTCGATCGTGACCCTGACGTCTGCTGCTGCTGTATATTTGGAGTTTGCGTGTCTCTCTCTCATCATCATCACGGTGGTTATGAGATGTTAACTACCTCACCTGGTATGAAAGGAGGTCGTGGGTTAGATCCCGACCCTGACGTCTGCTGCTGCTGCTGTATATTTGGAGTTTGCGTGTTCTCCCCGTGGTCGCGTTGATTTCTCTCCGGGTCTTCTGCTTTTTCCCTCCACATTTTGGAAGCAACGTGCGTTCAGAGTATTTAGCTGCTATAAATTTCCACGTGATGATAAAGCCAATTCGTTCAGCAATCATTTGTGGCCAGGTGGCTCCTGGAAAAGAGTTACATAGCTCAGTGGGGCCTTACCTAGTAGAATAAAAAATATAGTTGAGTCTATATTCGTGGTTCTTTCGGTAAAGTAAAGTAGATAGAAAATGAAACGTCGTGGGTCTTTTGCTTTTATCATTTTCTATTTTTATTTTATTATTTTATTTTATTATCTGTTATTTTTATTTTATTTTCTATCAACGTGACTTTACCGAAAGAACCAAGAACATGAATTCCTGCAGGCACGAAAGTTTTAAGTCAAAATGTTTAGTTGAGTCTAGTTTTAGTTTACACCAGCAACGGCGCTTCTCGGGATCAAGATCCCAATGGCCATAAGGGAGGGGGGGTCTCAGCACCCCAGTAGCCGTAGGGTACTGGGGTGCTGCGACATTTCAGGAACCCAATTTGCCGTGGGGGTCACAGGACCCCCACGGTGGTGGGGTCTGAGAACACCGATTGCCAAGGGGAGATTTCAGGATTCCAATGACCCCTGGGTCTCAGGACCCCCACTGGCTCTGAGGCCGGAGGGGGGGGGGGGTCTCAGGCCACCAGGTGGCCTCGCTGACTTGGCACCTTCGTTGCTGGCCGCGTCGCACAGCTGGACGCGGCGCTCACGACGGACGCGGTGGTGGACACGTTTCGGGCGGCGCGTGATCTGCCCTCGGACCTCCAGAAGATGGTGCTGGGCGCGATGCTCAACCGCAACTTCACTGCTGACAAGTGAGGCCAGCGGCCCTTTTGCCCGGTGGGCCGGGGCACCGGGGGCCAAGGGTGACCGGGAGGGTGAAATCACGAGGGCCGAGATTCCCCTGAATTAGTCCTAATTGGGCGACGTACTCTACCCACGCCAAGAAGTCACCGCACGGTTGTACTCAGGATTACTCGCACCTCCACGGTGAATCACAATGAGAATCTCGATTTAGACCCGGAGGAATACAGTGTCTGAATCATACGGCCAAAGTCGCCCAACTGCCCCTGTGCCCGCCAGGATTCCGGATTCCGTGATTTGCGTTTACCCGGACGTGACGACCGTGCCCCCGACGGACGCGGTCCTCGTCGCCAAGCTCAAGGCGTGCCTCCAGAACGCCAGCGCCGTCTCCGCCAGCGCCCAGCAGCAGCAGCAGCAGAAGGTACTGGCGCCAACGTCCCCACCCACCGCTGCCCGCCCTCACCCCCTCCCCATCCCCACCGCGTCGGGGATGGGGAGGGGGCGAGGGTGGTGGTGGCCGGAGTTGAATAAAACTAAAAATCCTCCGGACACGGGACTCGTCGGGGAAAAAATAATGCAATGAAAGTGTCGTGATTTTTTTGTGTAAAGCACCGATACGCACGAGGGAGTGGCAATGAGGACAGGGGAAGTGGGAGGCCGTGCATGTAACTGTCGTTCTGCAGTCATCCACTCAAGATGGCATCGTTCACAAAAGCTCCCCGCGCACAGCCACAGCCCATTCGCCGTAAGAATGGCGCGGATAGCAAATGTGCTCGTTGTTTTTATATTAAACAACTTATTCATTTGTCAGGCTCTGGAGCTGGCCCAGAGGTTTGCAAAATGGTTTTCACGATAACATTGTGTACCCGGGAAAACCTAACCTAGTCTCAAGACTCTCTCTCTCTCAAGAGGGTCCGGCGTCAGGACGTTTGGCCAATTCCTTATGGGAGAAAGCCAAAAAAAACATTTTATAAACACCCCCACCGTGCGTACAAAGGGATAACACTCAAAGCTCCGCACAGACGGAGCACTCCTACTTTGGCGAGTTCTTGGCAAACGTGGGAAGAAAACCGGAGGACCTTGGAGAAAGCCCCACAGGCAGACGAGGAGACAGCGCCCAACACTGAGGACGCACGACCGCCGCGAGACACCGATTGCGAGTGGATTGATAATCACGCCCGAGGGAACAGATTCAGAAAACAAAACAAATGTCTCGACCCCCCCCCCCACCCGCGTCGACGGACGAATGACATCCCCACGCTGCTGCCACCTCACCGCCTCTCTGTGCCGCAGGTCGCCCTGGCGATTCTCGCGGGTGCCGGGCAGCAGCTCAGCGGGGCGAAGTTGATAGAGCTGGGGCCCGTTGCCCTGCTCCTGAGCCCCGCCGCCATCGCCAACTTGAACGGGCAGGCGGTGCTGACCGCGTTGCCCACCCTGGGGCAGCAGAGCGGATGGAGTCTTGCGCAGGCCCAGCAGTTGGTCAATAAACTGGTCGGCATGGGATTCAACGTGAGTGGCACAAGCGCACGCGGTGGTCTGTACCCCTGTTAGGCTGTGACCCCCCCTATATGCACCCGTGACCCCGTGTGAACCTGTGACCCCCCCGACGTGAACCCGTGACAGCTCGTGTTAGCCTGTGACCCCCCGTGTGAACTTGTGACCCCGCGTGAACCAGTGACCCTGCTTGAACCCGTGACCCCCATGTGAACCCGTGACACCCCGTGTTAGCCTGTGACCCCCCGTGTGAACTTCTGACCCCGCGTGAAACGGTGGCCCCGCGTGAACTCGTGACCCCAGTGTGAACCCGTGACACCCATTTGAACCCGTGACTACGTATGAACCCGTGACCTCGCGTGATCCCGTGACCTCGCGTGAACCCGTGACCCCGTTTGAACCTGTGGCCCCACAGAGAAGCCTGTGACCCTTGTGTGAACCCGTGACGCCCGTGTTCACCTGTAACCTCCGTGTGAACCCGTGACCCCGTGTGAACCTGTGACCCCACGTGAACCTGTGACCTTCGTGTGAACCCATGACACCCATGTTAGCCTATAACCTCCGTGTGAACCCGTGAACCGGCGTGAACCCGTGCGACCACGTGTGAACCAGTGACCCTGTGAAGAATCCATACTCCTGTGTTTTGTAGCCACCATGCCAAAGCTGTAGGGGTGTTGGTGGAAATGCGCAACGCCGCATATCCCTGTCAGCTCTGATTGGCGGATCGCAACCTGCCGAGAGCATCGTGGGTTTTTGTTTTACCTTCGAGTGCCCCACGTGTTGACGCGCGCGCGGACGCAACGCGCGCGGACGCGCTGACGCTTGCCGTCGATCTGCACCCCCCCGGCCCTCACCGTCGCAAGTTGGGCGACAGCGCGGCCGTCGGTCAGCTCGGCACGCTGGTGTCCGGGCTGCCGAGCAGCGCCGCGCTGGCGCTGCCGGACTCGGAGGCGCGCCGCCTGCTCACGCTGCCCGGGATGCAGGACCCCGCCGTCGGCAGCGCCATGCCGCCCTCGGTCGCCGCCGCCATCGTGGAGAAGGTGGGGGGCCCTGGGTTGCACTCCCGCTCCAGGTGGTGCCGTGCCCCTTGCTGGCTTGGTCGTTGGGTGCCCGCTGATGGTCTGTCAGCACGCAATGGGGGGGGGGGGGGGGTGGAGGATTTTTCACAGCTGCTCCCAGAGTGAAACATTTCCTCCCACTTGACGTCTGTTCATTTGTAACGCTGCTCACTCCATTATTCGGAGGTGCGAGGCACCATAAGCAAGCGGGAAGGCGATGTGATGACGTGAGTGGAGGCAATGTGACGATGCGAGTGAACGTGCGCTTGCCGACAGGCGGTGAGGGCCTCGGCAGACCCGGTGGTGCTTGTGCAGGACACGCCGGGCTGGCTGGTGTGGGCCCTGCCCCTCGACACGATCCGGGCCCTGCCCTCGTCCGTGCCCCTGGGTCAGATCAACTCGAAGGAGTGGACGGAGACACAGGTTCGATACGCACTTCCGCTCCACCGCTCGCTTCCCCTGCTCACCCACTCACCCGTTCATTCACCCGCTTCCCCATCTCACTCACCCACTCACTCACCCGTTCACTCACCCACTCACTCACGTGCTCACTCATCCGCTCACTCACCCACTCACTCACCCACTTCCCCTGCTCACTCACTCACCCGCTTCCCCATCTCACTCACCAACTCACTCATCCGTTCACTCACCCACTTCCCATGCTCACTCACTCACCCGTTCATTCACCCGCTTCCCCATCTAACTCACCCGCTCTACTCACTCGCGTCATTGTTCACTCGAAGCCCCCAGTCCGTCTTCACTTCGGTGGGGAGTCGCTCATTGTCTTCTGCCTCCTGCATTGCTCTGGAGTTACCTTCCCCCTGCTGGCAGTGCTGACGACTCTGCCTATGCTCCAAATTGCAACTGTATGAAAGTTGTGGTGAGTTCAGCAGAGTCGCAGACGTACTCTTGGAGGCAACACATTTATTAACACCAACACACGGGGTAACTGCCATATAACAGAATAACAACCTATGGTGGTGGACCACCAGGCTAACTACACTAATTACCACGTGACTGGTGTAGTTAACCAGGTGGTGACCACCAGGCTAACCACACTAATTACAACGTCACTAGCTACAACGGACCGGGACCACAGCTCGGGTCCAGGTCCACGTGTTGGAGACCCTGCAGGACGTAGACGAAGGTTGCTTCAGGATGAACAACAACAACGCCGGTCCCTCTGGGGGACCCGGCTTAGATCCTCTACGGCGTGGCCGGCTCCGCCCTTGGCCACGCCCACCTTCCAGAACTCTCGAGGAGGATCTGGCCCCGGACCACGTGATCACCCCTAGCCCCCCACTTGGGGCCCCTATGTAGATTTAACCGGTCACGTGTCCTCACGGGTCAAGCGGAGTGTCATGGCCTTTAGTAACGCCCCCCCCCCAAACACCCTATCCTGTAGGGGCTGGCACTGCACGCCAAGCGTGGTGCCATCCAGCGCTATCAGCCAGCGCTCACCGAGCCCCTCTAGGGCCGGTTAGCACCGAGTAACATTCAGCTAGTGATGTAGGAACACCACGATGGTGTGGGTGACTACACGGTGATGTGGGTGACTACACGGTGATGTGGGTGACTACACGGTGGTGTGGGTGACTACACGGTGATGTAGGGACACCACGATGGTGTGGTTGACTACACGGTGGTGTGGGTGACTACACGGTGATGTGGGTGACTACACGGTGATGTAGGGACACCACGATGGTGTGGGTGACTACACGGTGATGTGGGTGACTACACGGTGGTGTGGGTGACTACACGGTGATGTGGGTGACTACACGGTGGTGTGGGTGACTACACGGTGGTGTGGGTGACTACACGGTGGTGTGGGTGACCACACCATCGTGGTGTCCGCGATGTTCCTACATCGCACGCCATGCCTCTCTAGGGGCCGGCATGACACAGTGACATCACGTGATGTCACTACATCACGTGATGTCACTACAAAGGTACAGGGTGTTTACGAGTAACATTCAGCTAGACAGCTTGTTATTTTGAGAGAAAAAAAATAATCTCAAGGTTACTAATTAAATGTTACTTCTCATTTCAGTCGATGATTATTTTTAAAAGTATGAAACGAGGCTACACGTGGACTGAGACCGGAAGGTACGGTGGTGATGATGGTGATGATGGTAGTAACGGTGATGATGGTAGTAACGGTGATGGTAGTAACGGTGATGGTGGTGGTGATGGTGATGATGGTGATGGTGGTGATGGTAGTAACGGTGATGATGGTGGTGATGATGGTGATGATGGTGGTGGTGGTGATGGTAGTAACGGTGATGATGGTGATGATGGTGGTGGTGGTGGTGGTGATGGTAGTAACGGTGATGATGGTGGTGATGGTAGTAACGGTGGTGATGGTGGTGGTGATGATGGTAGTAACGGTGGTGATGGTGGTGGTGATGGTGATGATGGTAGTAACGGTGATGATGGTGGTGGTGATGGTGATGATGGTAGTAACGGTGATGGTGGTGATGATGGTAGTAACGGTGATGATGGTAGTAACGGTGATGATGGTGATGATGGTAGTAACGGTGATGATGGTAGTATCGGTGATGATGGTAGTAACGGTGATGATGGTAGTAACGGTGATGATGGTAGTATCGGTGATGATGGTGGTGATGGTGATGATGGTGATGATGGTAGTATCGGTGATGATGGTAGTAACGGTGATGATGGTAGTAGCGGTGATGATGGTAGTATCGGTGATGATGGTAGTAACGGTGATGATGGTAGTAACGGTGATGATGGTAGTATCGGTGATGATGGTAGTATCGGTGATGATGGTAGTAACGGTGATGATGGTAGTATCGGTGATGATGGTGATGATGGTAGTATCGGTGATGATGGTAGTAACGGTGATGATGGTAGTATCGGTGATGATGGTAGTAACGGTGATGATGGTAGTATCGGTGATGATGGTAGTAACGGTGATGATGGTAGTATCGGTGATGATGGTAGTAACGGTGATGATGGTGATGATGGTAGTAACGGTGATGATGGTGATGATGGTAGTATCGGTGATGATGGTAGTAACGGTGATGATGGTAGTATCGGTGATGATGGTAGTAACGGTGATGATGGTGATGATGGTAGTAACGGTGATGATGGTAGTAACGGTGATGATGGTGGTGGTGATGATAGTAGTAACGGTGGTGATGGTGGTGGTGATGGTGATGACGGTAGTAACGGTGATGATGGTGGTGTTGATGGTGATGATGGTAGTAACGGTGATGGTGGTGATGATGGTAGTAACGGTGATGATGGTAGTAACGGTGATGATGGTAGTAACGGTGATGATGGTAGTATCGGTGATGATGGTAGTATCGGTGATGATGGTAGTATCGGTGATGATGGCAGTAACGGTGATGATGGTAGTAACGGTGATGATGGTAGTAACGGTGATGATGGTGGTGATGGTGATGATGGTGATGGTGATGATGGTAGTATCGGTGATGATGGTAGTATCGGTGATGATGGTAGTAATGGTGATGATGGTAGTATCGGTGATGATGGTAGTATCGGTGATGATGGTAGTAACGGTGATGATGGTAGTAACGGTGATGATGGTAGTATCGGTGATGATGGTAGTATCGGTGATGATGGTAGTAACGGTGATGATGGTAGTAACGGTGATGATGGTGATGATGGTAGTATCGGTGATGATGGTAGTAACGGTGATGATGGTAGTAACGGTGATGATGGTGATGATGGTATAATCGGTGATGATGGTAGTATCGGTGATGATGGTAGTAACGGTGATGATGGTGATGATGGTAGTAACGGTGATGATGGTAGTAACGGTGATGATGGTGATGATGGTAGTATCGGTGATGATGGTAGTATAGGTGATGATGGTAGTAACGGTGATGATGGTAATGAGGGTAGTACCGGTGATGATGGTAGTAACGGTGATGATGGTAGTAACGGTGATGATGGTGATGATGGTAGTAACAGTGATGATGGTCATAATGGAGAGATGATGGTGTCGATAATGTTAATGGTGTTGCTGGTGATGATTAACGTGATAACGGTGTTGACGGTTATGCAGATAGTAACGCTATTCAATTGCTACTGTAAAACATATATCGTTCTGACGCATCATTGCATTGATTTAAACGAATGTTTACGAGTGTAGCGCTTTCGTGAACTTGGTGATTGTTTTGTGCAGTCCCTGGCGACCGGGCTGAGACCATCAACTCGCCACACTCGAGAACCCAGTTCAATCACTGACCGATAGCGATTTGAACGTAGTCACTGATATTGTGGTTATCGGCTTTCTCTTTTGCTTCGATTTTGTCTGTACTTGTGAGTGGGCACCACGGTGGCTAGGAGATGTTAACTACCTCGCCTGGTATACAGGAGGCCGTGGGTTCGATCCCGACCCTGATGCCTGCTGTATATTTGCAGTTTGCGTGTGTCTCTCTACCCGAAGTCGTATGGATTTTTCTCCGTGTTCTCCGGGTTTTCCCTCCACATTTAGAAACGTGCGTTTGGAGTATTTGGCCGCTATAAATTCCCACGCGACAAGCCACTCCATTGGGCTATCGTTTGTGGCCAGGTCCACTTCTGAAAAGGAGTTCCATAGCTCAGTGAGGCCTAACCTGGTCAAGTAAAAATTGCGGTTTCATAGTTTTAGTGTGATTTAAAGCTTTCGTGACTGCAGTAACTCATATTCTTAGCTCTTTCGGTAAAGTCACGTTGAAGGGAAACAACAAAATAATACAATATATATAAAACAATAAAAATTCTCACGACGTTTCGACCATAACACAAACGGTCATCATCATGCCGTTTGTATTTCACACCTGATGATGACCGTTTGTGTTATGGTCGAAGCGTCGTGAGAATTTTTATTGTTTTATATATATTTTATTGTTTCCCTTCAACGTGACTTTACCGAAAGAGCTAAGAATATAGTTTTAGTGTGGTTCTATTTTATTGTTTTACGTACAATTGGAAAGGCGCTTTATAAAACCACATGCTTTATTTATTTATGTATAACCACTCATTCATCCCACAGGCAGTTCGGTAGCCTCCTGAGGGGCTTCACGTGCAATCAGCTGTCCGGGCAGGTGGACGCGCGCGACTTCGCCATCGCTGCCAACGGCAGCGAGGGTCACATGACCCGCTCCCAGGTACTGCGCTCCCCTGCTTTGGAACGACGAAAAGTTGGATATAAAGAAGATGCACACATGGTGTCAACCCATACGGTCTACCCCGTATTCTCGTAACAGGGAAACAGAGTGTTCAGGTCCACACGGGGTACGGCCGGTTCTATGCGTGCTACAACCAAAAAAATGTGCCTATTTGTTTGTGTTTCTCCCTTGTGATGGGACTTTGTAGGATGAACGTTGAGATTTATAAGGGGCACAGTGGGGTGACCAATAAGGTCTGGATTGGTCTGTAATAAGGTAGGGCACTGATAAGGGGTTGACAGGTATGAAGATGCGCTCGATTTAATCGACAGGTTGTAAGGTGTTCACCGGACTAATTGACGACATGGCGATCGGTGTAAGCCAATCAGTTTCAAAGACAGTGCGCATATTATGTATTACCAGAGTGTGTTTGTTTCCATGTGTCACCACAACTGCTGTGTGTGGCTAATGTAGTACTTGATTCCTGTAAAAAAACAAATTATTTTGTGTTTGAACATCTGAACACCTCCTGTTTTAATGCCAAAATAGGGTAAAACTCATTCTTATTTTACATATTTTGATACTGGTAAAAAGTCACATTATATAGCTACTCACCCCGAGGTATAGTGCATCGTCTTTATATTGTTCACCGTTTGGTGTTCTTTGGTCTGACACTTTTGAGACTAGACCATGAAGAAGGCGTCTCTGCTGTAGGCGAATCAGTTTCAAAGACAATGCATCAAATATAATTATCAGAGCCATGTTTGTTTGCATGTTCACCAGAAGTGCTGTGTGTGCTTAATGCAAATTTGATTCCTTGAAAAAGGTATCCATTTGGTGCTTGAGTATCTTAACACCCTTTGTATTGCCGGAAAAGGGTAAAACCTATTCTTCATTTTCATACTATAGATCATAGGATGTCTTCGTAGTTAATTTCGTTACTTCACGACGATTCGCGTGGTGGACAGCTTGTGCCGTCAAAGGCGTTACGCAGGCCCTGCTGTGAGTGAACTCTGTCTGAAGAACCGTCAAGTGACCCTGCTCGCACTGGAAGTACAGAAATAGCACGGATGTAGAATTAACGGGAAACCCAATTGCAGAGTCACGGTGAAATTTAAATCACGACAACAATCGCCACACCACCACTCATAGCCGGGCAGTGGTGGCTATGCACGTGGCCTGTAATTCAGCGCTGTGGAGGCAGCGAGGAGGATGGAGTGATGCCCCCTCCTCACGCGTGTCCGTTTTCCTCCGTGCGCTCCGGTTTCCTCCATTGATTGCCTGAAACCATCTTAATGTGTAGAGGACTACAGAGCTTTGAGAACTGTCGGTAGCATTGGCTCACCGCCTGCCTGGCTGCTGCTTCCAGCTCGAGCCTGTTGTTCCTCGGCGATTGCGAGAGACGCAATCTGCACGAATGGACGACACCGATGCTGTGTCGACATAAACATTGTAATCACGTTGAGAAAGGTAACGCCGCGTCGTGAACAGCAATTAACGCGGCAACCCTTGTGTCAACCGACGCCGCCGACCGGGCCCTTCGAGGGAAATATCGGTGCCCTCGGTACGCAATAGTGGCGGCAATAATGATGTTGCCTGGGGGTCCCATCGCTTCCCATCCGCCTATAATGCGAGCGTAGCAACTCTGCCCAGGCATGGCCTGTAACGCAGCGGCACGGTGTTCACTACGCGCACACTTCTTTACCAAATCCTTATTTGGGACAGAGACTTGAGGAAAATATTCGTATCATAAATCGGTGGCTTATAATATTTTGGGGCAACACCCCTCCCCCCACCCGCCCATCCACCACCCCTCTCGGCCTCGTCGTTGCTCAACCCGTTTCCCGCCATTTTCCAGCTCAAGTGCATGGCGGAGGCGGTGGCGCCGGGCCCGGGGACACTGAGCGAGACCGACGCCCTGCTGATGCCCGGCGGCGTCCTCGCCTACATCGAGTGAGGCTTATGAGCGCACGCACTCCCGACCGCCCCCCCCCCCGCAGCGTGCCGACCGGTGCTCGCTTTCACCCGGGGACAGTCCGGGATGCCGGTCCGGACAACCATCGTGGCGCCCGCCGCATCCATCCACCGCCCTCGTAGGAGTACGGGAGGAAGATTGGATGCGATGACGTAGGATTATTATGGACAGGCGCACCTTGTGTTCTAGTGGTAGTGCCTTACGCCGATAATCCCCACTCCCCAGCCAAGCTGCTAAAGCGGCGCTCTGGAACATACCGAGTGTGAAATGAAGCACTGAGTGAGGCCGATGGGCGGCCAGGACCCACAGCCCTGCAGCGTCAGTATGTTTACAGGGGGGAGGAGTGGTGGGAGTTAGGGGGCTATACAGAAACTCGGGGGGGGGGGGGGACGACGACCAGGACAGAGTTATTGTGAAACAGATTTTATGAAAATTGCTGAATGCTAAATGGAATGAGTAACACAATGTGACCCGTTTGTGTCGACCGTGCGTTCTGCTCCGGTTCATCCAGCCCGAGTGTGTACGTGGGACGGCCGTGACTTTTGTGAATTTTGTCCAGCCCCCTGCAGCTATGGCAAATTAAAAGGTGGCGGTGGTCGGGTGGTAGTGAGGGCGGTGGCGGTGGTCACGGTGCATCTGTCAATCATCTCAGTCAGTCAACCAACGGCACCTGGGTCTGTCCCATGACCTCCTGTCAGCGAGCCTTCGACACTTCAAGTGGCCTCAAAGCACACCTGGTGATGGAGGTGGTACCATCCCGCCCCCCCCCCCCCCTCGTGCGTGGCGGTTGAGTGCAGGCCGGACGAGATGAAGAGGATGCCTCAGTGCCGGGAGGTGCTGAGACGCGTGGGGGCCTCAAACCCCGAGACCTTCCCTCCCAACCACAGTCGCCCAAAACGGCTCCTCAACGCCACCTTGCACTGCCTCGTGAGAAGCCGCACCTCGACGACGACGACGCCGCCGCGGTTGACTCTCGTCACATCACTGGGGTCGACTTAAATGAACGAAATAGATGGACTTTCTGAGGTTCACCTTTGCCTCCTGTGTCTGGAGAGCGATTCAGGCGAGAGAGGGGCGTAGAACCGCGTGCCCACGTGTGCTCACGTGTACCCACGTGTGCTCACGTGTACCCACGTGTACCTACGTGTGTTCACGTGTACCCACATGTGTTCACGTGTACTCACGTGTACCCACGTGTGCTCACGTGTACCCACGTGCGCTCACGTGTGTTCACGTGTACTCACGTGTACTCACGTGTACCCACGTGTGCTCACGTGTACCCACGTGTGTACACGTGTGTTCACGTGTACTCACGTGTACCCACGTGTGCTCACGTGTACCCACGTGTGTACACGTGTGTTCACGTGTACCCACGTGTGCTCACGTGTACCCACGTGCGCTCACGTGTGTTCACGTGTGTTCACGTGTGCTCACGTGTACCCACGTGTGTTCACGTGTACTCACGTGTGCTCACGTGTGCTCACGTGTACCCACGTGTGCTCACGTGTACCCACGTGTGTACACGTGTGTTCACATGTACCCACGCGTGCGTCTGAGTGACCACAGGGCTCATGTGGTCCAGCGGTCATTGCACCTGAGCTACGAACCCGGAGACCGGAGTTTCGTTGCCGCTTGTGACCAACGCCAGTGACGAATATCTGCACCGGTTCTGGGCCTCCCCTAGATCGACTCAGCCTCAAATGAGTAACTGGGGCAGTGTGTAATCAATGGCACTGGAGATGGGGAGGCGGTCTGGCGTGGTTTTCCAGCCACGACGCCGCCTCGTGCGCCGTGGCGGCCTTCAGTGGTGCTCGCTAACAGCACGTGGCACGACAGTCTGGTGAGGTTATAGCTCAGGGGTGGGGAACGTCTGGCCCGCGAAATAATTTGGTCTCTGGCCCTGCCAAGGCAATCGCAGGTGGGACTCGAAATTAAATAATTCTAGGAGCAAACCTGGAAAAGCAGTTGCGAGCAGCAACATCATCAATACCAGCTAACATCATCACACGCCTCGCCAAAGAGAAGCAGTTCCAGCCCATCGCGTTAGGGGCGAGTTAATTAAATGTTTGACCAAATATAACAGGCTAATTTTTAAGTTGATTATTTTGTATGGCCCGCGAATGATGTTATAAATATCCAAATGGCCCTTGGCAGAAAAAAGATTCCCCACCCCTGTTATGGGGGGATCTTTGTTTCGTGTACCCAGTCATCCGAGGCGGTCAACCCACAACAACTGAGTGTGTCCCCGTGACCTGTCAATGAGCCTTCGACGCATCACGTGGCCACAAAGCGCACCTAGCCTGGCGCAAGCGCTGCGGCGACGTCACCCCCCGCTAAGTGGCGAACGGCGGCGGCCATCGCCGCTGTCTCTTGTCGCGGCCCTGGGCGCGCCCACAGGGCAGGAGCGAGGCTCTGAGGGCGGAGGACGTGGCCGTGCTGGGCTGGATGTCGTGCGGCCTCTCGGTGTCTCAGCTTCAGGGCGCCGACTCGTCCGTGCTGGAGGGAGTGAGCGCATGCGGCCACTATTCGAGCGAGCAAGTCGTCGCGCTCCCGCCGCTCCTCACGCGGCGCTACGGGTGCGCCACCCACCCTCCCACCCCCATCGACTATGGATTTTGTCGGCCGACTCTCTGTTGCATGTGCATATTTTTTTTTTTTACAATTATGCCCCAAGACGCGATCGGTAGAACCGTGAACGTGCGATCCAGAAGTCGCAGGTTCGATTCCATCGCCCAAATGTTTCGCCAACTGACATGTCCACAGTTTCCTTTGTGAAGTGTTGCAACTGACTTGACCTTTGGCCCAACAGGTACGCGATCGGGTGGAGCGGGAAGACTGTGAAGGGCCTGAGCGACCTCCTCACCGTCCTCAAGATGAGCATGCTCGACTCGGTGCCCACGGTGAGGCTCCGCCGGGAACACGACACGGGTGGCAGGGCCGATTAGCAGGGCCGGTCGGCCGGGCCGGTTGGCGGGACCGGACGGCGGTGCCGAGCGGGAGGGACTGGGTGGCAGGGCCGGGTGGTTGGGCCGGGGGGCAAGGCCGGACGGCAGTACCGGGCAGGAGGGTCCGGGCGGCCGGGCCGGGCGGCAGCGCCAGCACCACTTGCAATAAGAACGACTTGACGTTAATAATGCGCCCATAATTGAACACACTTCTTATGAGAAGGGGACAGCAGTGTTGGAAGAGGGGGCAGCACTTTTGGCGAAGAAATTCAATCGGCAAAATTGTTTTTATTAATCCGGGAGAGCCACACAGGAGGGGGTCCTACCGCATTGGGGTTTTTATTTGAAGACGCTAGTCAGCCAATTTAATGTTGAGCGTTTACACACGTGGGAGGAAACTGGAGCACCCGGTGGAAACCCACTCGTGCGAGGGGGCAACGCTCTATCCCCGTAGAGATGGAAACACGTGGCGGTGAGTCCACTTGCGGTACCGGCTTCTCTCGGCCAGCCAGGGAATGGCACCTCCTCGACTGCCCACGGGGATTGAGTTTTGACGGCATTCGTGCTGCGATCCACCAAGCCTCGCGCTGCCTCCACAGTGCTGAATCACGCACCACGTGCACAACCACCACCACTGGCGAGACGGGCGGGGGGGCCGGCACTGTTGGAGAGAGGGGGCCAGTTTGGTTAATGATGCCGATTACCGAGTGTCGTTATCGTGCAGGACGTGATACGGGAGGGAACCCAAGACCTGCTGCTCAGGGACGTGCAGGAGAAACGCTTGAAAACCCAGGTGCGGCTGCGCAGGGGGCGCAGCGTGGAGGACCTGGGGGTCCGCCTCGTCAAGAGGCCCATCAAAGCCAGAGGTGAGCGACCCTTCCGCCACATTTCAGCCTGCTGGGCTCTCGATCGTGCTGGTGCCTTCACCGACGATGAGCCCCCGCGCACCTGCATCGTCCGTCGTCGTAAACATCAGCAGGATCTTTTCAGGGCAATCAAGCATCTCCCGTGCTCGTCACGGCTCATGCGCCCTCGTTGGCCACCACTCCTCGCCCACCTCGAAGGCCGGGCATTGGACGGTTCTACGCGTGCGGTGCAACACGGTCACGGGCACGCGTGTGCGTTTCGCGCTTACATTGTTGATTGCTCGTGCGTGTTTGTGCTTTGTGTGCATTCGTGTGTGCGTGCACGTGTGTGTGCGTATGCATTTGTGTCTGCGTGTGTCTGCCAGTCATCTCAGTCAGTCAACCCACGGCACCTGGGTCTGTCCCGTGACCGACCAGCGAGCCTTCGACACTTCACGTGGCCTTAAAGTGCACATAGCCTGGCACAAGCGCCGCGGTGATGTCACCTCCGCTTATTGGCGAATGACGGTTGTTGTTGTTGGGGTGTACACACGCGCGTGTATTGTACCTATGTATGTATGTATGTGTGCGTACGTGCGCATGCGTGTTTGTTATACATGTCGTATCTGCGTGTGTGTGTATACGTGCGCGTGCGCGCACACGTGCGTGCGTATGTTGTTTGTACACGCGCGCGCGTGTCGTCTCTGTGCGTGCGTGCGCGCGCAGTTCGACGCGCCGCGTGCACGGACACGCCGTACACGCGCGCCGACCTCGTGGATCTGGGTTACGGGCTGCCCTGGCTGCCGCTCACCGACCTCGTCGACTGCATCATGCCAGCCACCATCGCCGACACCCTGGACATGCTGGGCGCCGCCGACTTCTCCGCCGACAAGCTCCAGGCCCTCAAGACGGTGAGGGGTGTGTGGACACGACAGTCTCCCCATAATCATTTGTATTTTATAACTGGAGGAATCCGATGGGCTGCAGGGCTCATTTTCCACAAATGTGCAGTCCGGGCAGGTCATAAAGTTGCAACAAAAAACAGTAAAAAAAAGTACGGAGTGCAAAGTATAGGAAAGGTAAGTCAATAATGAAAATAAAATGTTCCTATTTTTGTTTTGCCAGGTAAAGCCCACTGAGCTATCAGCTTATTTTTTCAGAAGCGACCTGGCCACAAATGTTAACTCGACGAAGTGGCTTATCACGTGTAAATTTATAACAGCTAAATAATCTAAATAATCTAAACGCATGTTTCTAAATACACTCTCAATGGAAGAGTATCAGGGTTCAGAGGGGATCAGAGTTGAAAGGTTAGAAGGGTTGAAAGGGTATCGGTAAAATGGTATCAGGGTTCGAATGGTGTTGGAGTTCAAAGGATATCAGTCAAAGGGCATTAGGGTTCAAAGGGTACCAGGGTATTAGGGTTCAAAGGGCATCACGGTTCAAATGGAATCAGAACTTTAAAGGGTATCAGGAAAAGTGTATCAGAGTTCAAAGGGTACCAAGGTTCGAAGGATATTAGGATATTATCAATGAAACGTCAAGAGTTAAAAGCGTATTATGTATGTTGAACTTCTTTCTCACCGTACGTAGCAAACCGTGCTAATCGGAAGTGCGGGTGGGGGGGAATGACAACAAATCTCGCTAATTGTGCGAAAGAGCGTGTGTACGCCGTGTGCATGCGTGTGTGTCCGTGCAGGCCCTGGGGGCGCCCAGCACCAACGTGGACGCCGTGGGGCTGCGCCGCTTGGCCCTGGCGCTGAACTCTAGCGAGCTGCGGGCCCTCGACCTCACCCAGCTCGACCTCGTGTCTGTGCTCGCCACCATCCCCGGCTGGAGCCAGGGCCAGGTGCGGACCATCCACATGCCCCCCTCCTCCGCTGCCCCCCCGGGCACGGCTCGCGGGCCCGTAATGGGGTTTGCAATTCGGGGGGATCCGCCGCTTGAGTCTCCCGGAGCGGCGGGTTAAACAATGGGGACGTTTCTCAAGTCCCCCAGCCTCTTGTGGTCCACCCAGCTGTTGCGAATGGTTTTGGCGAAGTTAGTCGATCGGGCAGGTCATGGTTGGTGGAGTAAAATTTGGGGCGTTCCCCACCTCATCCAAGTGGTCTGGCCAGCGTGGAACAGTAGGCCAAATAATCTCTAGACGGGGGCCCTTTAAGAGCTCCCACGAGCAGGGGGCGCTTCCACTATTGGTGGTGTGAGCAGGCAATTTCAGGGTTGCACCTTTACCGTTCGAACACCGCGCCTTCATTCACTCATGAACACATCTTGCAAAGCACTCATTTCACGGGTAGTAAACGCTTAACTTTGAACGTTGTCATCCCCATTGCTATCTCAGAAATATTTTGTCAGGCAATTACGCGTGAAATCATCAACGTGAGCAACAATAATCGCGATCTTACACGCATTTGCAAGCCAGACGATACGATTATCGTGGACCTCATGTTGTACGATCCATCGACGTACCGTATCACCGAATCGCGACAGCTCGAGGCCTGGGTTCGACACCCAACTCACGTGCCTTTCTGCGTAGAGTCTCTGTATGTTCTCCCACACTTCTGCAAGAGCTTTCCCTCCGCGTAGTGCGGTTATCTCTCGTGACGAAAAATAACACGACGCAACTGGCATCGGCCAAAACATTGCAACGCTTGAAAAAAGTGACCCGCGAATTACTCAATTGGGATCGTACGTAGTAGGAACTAGCACCCTTCTATACGCGAAAAAACATGGGTGGAACCTCCTAAAAAAACACACGATTGATGCTCAGTGAGGTTTTCCCCGGGTAAACTAGCGCAATAGTAGGAATGGAATCAATGACGCGCGACTCTGCAATTGCCGCGCTTTTTGACAGCTGGCGGTCGTGGCCGAGGGTTTCCTGGCTGGACGCCCAGTGTCCTCGCTCACTGCCCACGAGATCTCCTCCCTGGGGATATTCTTGGCAGGAATTCCGGACCTCTCGGGCATCAAACAAGACGCCTACAAGTGAGCAGGTTTCCTTTCATCCACGAACATTCAGCGTTTTGGGAATTATTTGTCAACTGAACGCCTCTTTATTTATTCATTACGCCGACGGCGAGTCTTTAATTGGACGAAAATCATCGAGCGTGACGATGGCTACGACTAGCGACCGGAGACCAACGCACGACCGACTTTGACGAAAGCAAAACATGTCCGAATGAAGGTGCAGACTTAAGATAATTTTAGTAGCGTTATTAATTAGACACTGTAATGCACCGAGGAAAACCAAAAAAGTGGTAATTTTCTATGCGCATGAAAAAAATTCATTTGCATTGGGGGGTACAATCTAGGCCTGGGCAAAGTTTGCCGCCTTTGACAATGAAGATGGGGGATGGGAAAGGATGGGAAGGGATTGGGGGGGGGGGCTTCTAGCCGTCGAACCGCCGTGAGTATTTACTTCACTGGGGCCCCCACGCTTCCCTCCGTGCGCCTGGTTGGTGGTGTCGGTTTGGCGGTGGCGAGACGGTGGTTATGCGCGTGCGCGCAGGCTGGCGGCGGAGAGCGTGGGCAACGTGGACACCTTCAGCCCCGCGCAGTTGCAGGCCCTCTTCTCCGTGGCGAAAACCGTCTGGGGCTCGAACCTCACGGCTTGGACCCCCGAAACGATCAACCAGGCCGGATGCCTGCTCGGTGAGGTCCGGCGTGAACTCGCGACGAGTTCTCGCTGGGGTTGCTACCTTGGCTGTTTTTTTTTCCCCCCAGGATCATTCTATTGTTGAGGTGGTTGGCACGGGAAACCCATGTCAGCCTTTCCGAAACAGTAATTGCCCCCCCCCCCCCATTTGTTTGTCGGTTGTGCATCGATACACCACTGAAAACGATGCGCTTGCATTTGATTCTCCCCTCCTCCTGTATCACGAGATATTCTCCTTCACGTGGTGCGTCCTGGTGGTTTTTGCACCTCGGGTGGCAACCGTGGTTCACGCGCACACGCACGTGCGTATTGCCTGGGTTAGGGTTCAGGGGTCAGAGACACTGGGCTGGCACTGCTGAGAATTCTGACTTGGGACCTGAGTGCAGTGAGACGATGGTTCTCAGGCCGGTCGCCAATGACCGCGCGAACAAATCACGTTCAATGTGATCGTTCACCCCAGATTTGGCAAAATTCCATCTCTGAGAATGACAACCATTTCGGATTGGCTGCCCTGTTGGCGATCGTTTTTTTGTGGTGGGACGTTTGGGAAAGCGCGGCGTCCTTCCCACGTGTGGATAAATAAATGTGGCTTGAAGGGCTTTCAGAAGTCGTTTTGTTGCCACCTCCTTCCGCGGGCCTTTCTCTAACAAATCATCCTACACGAGATCTCATGTGCATACTGCATCTGGTGACATTACAACTGATATTATTGGAACAACAACAAAAAACGCCGATAACAATTGTTAAAAAAGGAAGACTCAATCTCAACACATTCACCATCAACGCTACATTGTAATAGAATGATATGTAGTAGGCTGACGTTTCAGGCAATAAGCCTCCTTCAGTAGCTAGAGAGAGGGCAGAGGGACTGGCCGACTTGTAATCGGGAATCTCCCACAATCTTGAGATGCAATAATTCATCTCTGTCTGCTCGTGTACTCGAGCAGACAGATATTAATAATGGACTATGCAATAAGTGTCTTGCCGTAGCATCTTAAAGGTTTTTTTTTACTCTATTTAGATACTATATCTTTTAAAACTGGAATTTTACATTGTAAAATGTCAGCGAAGATGGTATAAGTCCTCATCAGCCATGGATGAGGGGCCTCTCCAAAACGCCGCCACCCGACATAAGCCTGCGATGCAACGATCTATCCAGCGCCTGCACACGAACCGATCTCGTCACTCCACCTCCACGGTGGACGTCCTCTCGGGACACATTCCAGTCGTGCCAGTGGCAGAAAATCTATATCTAACACTTGCCGAAAGCCCAGCAAGACGAATGGTTTCTTTGTGAAGGGGTGGCGGGGAAAGGACCTGGGAGGGATGGTTTGACGAAGCGTGGTTTCTGGTGGGTTTTTTTTGTTCCTGGAGAACAGCTGCAGCATCTGTGGACGAGTGGAATTCCCTGCAAAGCGATGTAGTCGGCGTCATCAAACCTGTGGTCCTCCTCCTCACCCCGCCGAGCACGCTCGTGGTGGGATACGCGCTCACGCTCGCACGCTCACGCTCGCACGCTCACCATCACGCGCTCACGCTCGCACGCTCACGCTCGCACGCTCACCATCGCACGCTCACCATTGCACGCTCACCATCGCACGCTCACCATCGCGCGCTCACCATCGCACGCTCACCATCGCACGGGTCTTGGCTTTTCCTTTTTTGACGGTCTGCGCTTATTGTTTCAACGTTGCCCTGGCTAAATCCACCTACATTCCTGGTCGCATTGCAAAATAGTGATAACAATCCTCGGACTTTATTTTCCTGTACCAGTCAACTTTTGAATAAGGAACTAAACGTAATCTCCCACTCCTCTGCTGATTTTATACTAAAATTCAACCATTTTTTCAGGCTAAAATGTCCATTATCAGGTCCAGATGACTGTTTCTTCTACTTGCCTCCGGCTTAGTTTGAGGGCACAATGTTGACCAAGTTTTCCGCAATTTCAACTGCGGAACTCATCTCTTTATTTGGTGTCTGTCGACCTACCAGCTGTCCACTGGACCCCTTTCCTCTAAGGCTGTTACGGGACAGTTCCGGTCCCTCAATACTAGCACAGTTCCTGCCTTGTTTAAGACGGCTACGGTCACCCCCCACTTTTCTAAAAAGCCGGGTCTTGATCCCGAGCTTTATAAAAATGTTCACCCAATATCGAACCTTCCGTATTTGTCTAAGATTCTGGAACGAGCTGTGGTCACTCGTTTACACCAGCACCTGGCCTCAAACGATCTGTTTGACCACTTTCAATCGGGGTTCAGGCCTGTACATAGCACCGAGACTGCTCTGGTAAGGGTGGTCAACGATTTACTTTGTCAGCAGATAAAGGCTTTATCAACCTCCTCATTCTGCTCGATCTAAGCGTGGCATTTGACTCCATTGATCATGGGGTTCTCCTTGAGCGACTGGAAGTCTCATTGGGGATCTTTGGCAATGCTTTGTTGTGGTTCCACCCTTGCTTAAATAATCATGGGTACTTCGTCACAAAGGATGGCTTCAAGTCACCAATTAGGCCGGTTCTCTGTGGTGTTCCGCAGGGATCTGTACCTGGCACATCACTTTTTAGCATCTACATGCTATATTCTGCTCCGACATCTTGGCTTATAGCATTGTATGCAGATGACACTCAAATTTATGTCCGGTTAGGACCAGACAATGCAACAGCTTCTTATGCGCTGTCTGCATCACTAACAGCAGTGAAGTCATGGTTACGCCAAAACTTTTTGCTACTCAATGCCGACAAGACCAAAGCCATATCCATCGGCTCCCCTCTACATCTTTATAAAATTAGTCCGCCTCGTTTGTTGATGGATGGTCACGATGTCTGCCCTACACGGGATGTCAGAAAGTTTGGTGTTCAGTTTTAGCAGTCGTTATCCTTTCAGACACATATATCTAAGGTGGTTAAAAATGTCCTTGTTCCACCTAAGAAATATTTGCCAGAATTCATCTCTTCCTGTGACCTGCTGACTTGGAGAGACTGGTCCATGCTTTTGTGTCGTCCCGACTCGATTACTCCAACGCCTCACTGGTTGGGATTCTGAGCAAAGTACTGGGCAGACCCCAGTTTGTTCAGAATGCAGCTGCTAGAGTGCTTATATATGTACACTATTCCGTGAGTACATTATACCAGTCCTCTTATCTCTTCATTGGCTACCCGGTCAAATTCCGAATGGATTTTAAGATAATGCTATAACCTATAAGAGTTTCAAAGGGCTCACTTTCACATTACTTGTAGGAAATAATACATTTATATATCCCATCAAGGTCCTTAAGATATTCTAATCTCCAAATGCTCAGCACTCCCAGGTCTAGGTTGCGTTCTTTTGGTGATCATGGCTTTTGTTAGCATTGCACCCAAACTATTGAAAGCCTTAACCACTTGAAATCAGAGTCGATAGATATGTTCAAGTCTGTTTAAATAAAAAAAATCCATCTCTTTAAACTAGACTTTCCTCTTCATTTTGTTTTTTGTTTCCTGCTTTTCATGCGTTGCGCATTGGGATCCTGGGATGGAATGCGCATTAAACACTTTTATTATTATTATTAAGGTTATACTGGGGATCTTTGTCTTCATAGCGGTTAGCTACAAACCCGGCGACCTGAGTTCGATTCTCGCTCACGGCCAACACCAATAACTGTTATCTGAACCGGTCCTGGGCCTCTCCTAGGTCAACTCAGCCTCAAATGAATACCTGGCGCGGTGTGTAAACATCGCCGCTAGCCAACCACCTGCTCGTGTGCCGTGCCGGCCTTCATAGGTGCTCGCAAGCGGCACTTGACGCAACAGTCTGTTGAGGCTATACGGGGGATCTTTGTGTGTGTGCTCACTGCAGGCACTCAGCCCGGCCGTGCTGTCATCTCTGCGCGTGGAGAGCGTCGCCACCATCACGGACGAGCTGCTTAAACTACTCAATCAGTCGCAGCTCAACTCAGTCTCAAGAGTCTGGGAAAACACCCCAGTCCTCATGGCCACCCCCACCCCCGTCCCCACCCCCGCCACGAACAACACCACCTCCAGCAACACAAACAACAACACCTCCAACACCACCTCCAACAACACAAGCAACAACGGCTCTAGCAGCTCCACGAGTTCCAACACATCTTCCACCACCACCACCACCCCCTCTGGCTCTGGAAACACAAACAACAACACAAACAACAACACAGGCAACAACACAAACAACACAAACAACAACACAGGCAACAACGGCTCTAGCAGCTCCACGAGTTCCAACACATCTTCCACCGCCAACACCACCCCCTCTGGCTCTGGAAACACAAACAACAACACAAATAACAACACAAACAACAACACAAACAACAACACAGGCAACAACGGCTCTAGCAGCTCCACGAGTTCCAACACATCTTCCACTGCCACCAACACCCCCTCTGGCTCTGGCAACACAAACAACAACACAAACACAAACAACAACGGCTCCAGCAACTCCACAAGTTCCAACATATCTTCCACCACCACCACCCCCTCTGGCTCTGGCAACACAAACAACAACACAAACAACAACACAAACAACACAAACAACAACACAAACCACAACACAGGCAACAACGGCTCTAGCAGCTCCACGAGTTCCAACACATCTTCCGCCGCCAACACCACCACCTCTGGCTCTGGAAACACAAACAACAACACAAATAACAACACAAACAACACAAACAACAACACAAACAACAACACAAACAACAACACAAACACAAACAACAATGGCTCCAGCAACTCCACAAGTTCCAACATATCTTCCACCACCACCACCCCCTCTGGCTCTGGCAACACAAACAACAACACAAACAACACAAACAACAACACAAACAACAACGGCTCCAGCAGCTCCACGAGTTCCAACTTGCCCATCACTTCCAGCACCCCCACGACTGCAACGACCCGCACCACTACGGCCGCCAAGCCCAAAGAACCTGGCGTTGGCTATATGCTTGTTCCTCACGTCTCACAAAGTGAGTAGAGACGTTGACACACGGAGAGGGGAAGAGGGGAGAGAGTGCATAATTGTGAGACAGAGATAAAGGAGATAGAGTGAAAGAACGCGTTTAAGGTGGCAATAGGCCTCGACAAGGTAAGGTAATTTACCTTTTTACCGGGTAAAAGGGTAAAGGTGTCGACCATGCCAAGGGGTAAGGTAAAGGGTAGGGTAAAGGTAGCGCAGAAGAATTACCCGATAGGGTAAAGGTAGTGCTAAGTATTACCCGGTAAATACCCTGTTTACCGCTCACTAATAGCTCTGTGGCGCAGTCCGTGGTCTCCATTTTAAATTTGGATCATTGATGTGGGACCAGATGGAGACAGACCACGTTCTTGATGTAGAGGATGAGGTCGAGGATGCCAGCAACGGTATTTCCGGGGTCGCCGCGAACAGCAATCGAAAGAGGCAGCGGGGGGCGTTCCCGTGGGAGCACACGCACGACTGGATGGAGGGTGATCCCCGTGTGCAGCAAGCAAAACGGCAGTGCGTGCACTGCTGCGAGTGGTTTTCCTCCCACACGAACGCGTCGGGGTGCAAAGCCCACCTCAAGAAGCACAAAATGCTCGCCCCAGGCAGCGAGGTCGGGACGTCGGCGTAGGCGAGCCGCCTAATGCAGCAAACGCTCAGCCGGCCAGCAATGCCGGATCGCCTCCTGATAAAGTTTGAGAACGCAGTGGTTGATTTTGTTATCCAATGTGCAATATCTTTGCGAGCCGCGGGCAGCGACAATTTCAAGACCTTGGTCCACACACTGACGCAGAGATACGAGGGCCCATCGACCCGCACCGTCATTCGCAGGATTGTCGAGCTTCACGCCATCATGCTGCCCATCGTCGGAGCGGTCTTCTCCAACCTGGACGTCGCCATCTCGCTCACCATCAACGGGTGGTCGAACCGCAACCTGAAGGGATTTTGGATGGTTACGGTGCACTGGATCGACGCCAAATCTGATGCGTCGAAATCCATGCTGCTGACGATCATCGATGTGCAGTCCGGAAGGGGTGTCGGCAAGCGCATTGGCGCCGCTCTGTCTGAGTACCTCCAAAGCCTCGGGCACAATGTCTCGACCAAGCTGCTCGCTGTCACCAGCGACATTGGCTCCGATGCGATCAGTGCTGTCAAGACGTTCGCTCTGGTCAACGCGGATGCTGGATATGAGCAGTTGCAGGTTCGCCACCATATTCGCTGCGCGGATCATTCGGTCTAGATCGGCATCGTCCAAGTTCTCAAACTGATCAAGTCGCCCAACGCCGAACTGTGCAGGGCGCTCGTCAATATCAGGTGCAGCAAGGTCGTCCGGCAGTCGCACCGCCACGAGGCCGAGATCGCCAAGCTCGCCAGCGAGGAGCCGACGCACCAGGACTCGCTGACCAGGTGGAATTCGACGTTTGACGTGGGCGACGACGCCATCAAGAAGCGTATCCCATTTGACATTATCATGGCGCGCTTCCAGGATGTGATCGGCGTCGGTACTTTCTCTGACGTGCAGTGGGCAAACATCGAGGGCGTGACAGCATTCCTGCGAATGCCGCGCCAGGTCATGACCTCGTTGTCGGCGAACCGCAAGTCGACATTGGATCTCGTGCCGGTGACGATGGAGCACCTGATCCGTAATTGCGATTACGGTGAAACTGCTCTTAGAGCGTATGATGAGTCCTTGACCGTGACGGGGGGATAAAAGGCCGAGCTGGTGCAGTACCGCAACTTCCTGTTTCAGGAACCTGCCATTGTGGCGTCCTACTTGAATCCACAGCTGCCGAAAACGACAGACCAAGACGAGCTGGCGACACTGAAGGCCACGGTCCGCTCTGTCCTGCAGCATCGCTACCCGGACGTACTCACGATCCCTCCGACGGCAGTCGTTGCGAATATGGAGGAGGGGTCGCTGTTCAGCACCCTATTCAGCAACGTCAGCAGCTCCATCGACGACGGCTATGAAGTCGATCGTTTTCTGAGCATGGGCGTCACAACCGCCAGCACCTTCATTGACGTAATGCGGTGGTGGTCTCCCCACAAAGAGCTGCTCCCTGCCCACTACAAGATGGCCTGTGACTACTTGGGTGCGCCGGCGACATCAACTCCCTGCGAACGCGCGAATAGCGGAGCCGGGCGGGAGTTCACATGCGTTCGCCAGTCGCTGTCATTGACGCTCTTCATCCAGTCCATGTGCTTGCGCTCGTGGATTGCGGTCGGCTGCCTGAAGGTCCCGTCTAACCGGGCTGGAGCGGCGCAGGATCTTATTGCCTGTTGTTCGTCCGAGGACAACGGCAATGACGAACTTGATCAGGTTGTTGATGAGATCGTCATCGACCAAGACGACTGGGACGATGAGGTTATGGAGGACAGTGTCGTCGACAGCCTCAACGCCCGATTCGAGAGTATTCTATATGAATAAAGTGCTCATGTGTAGTACCCCGGTAATTACCCTGTAATCGGGTAATTTGTATGGGATAAGGGTAAAAGGTAGGGTAAAGGTTGGCTCGTTGCTTTTTTACTTTTACCTTACCTTGCTACAGGATAAAAGGTAAGGGTAGAGTGATTGTTTTGTGGTAAGGTAAAAGATAGGGTAAAGGTAGGCTCGATTTTACCTTTTACCTTACCTTGCCGCGGACTAGGTGGCAAAAGAGGTGCAAGACAGAGAGCGTGAGAGTGCCAAGACATGAGACAGAGAGAGGGCATAATACACCAACCCGCACCATCTGAAACAAAGATCCACCGTATAGCCTTAATAGAGGTTTTTTTTGGGATAGATCGCGTAAATATGAATGTGTTATTAGATCCACCACCACCCGATACAGCCAATTAGTAAGGTTTGTCACGTAAACAAAACATGTCAATTCATTACAAATCAAGGGCGTCAAAATCACCATGACTTTGTGGGCTGCCAAAGATTAACAAACCTGACGTCCCATTAAGACCCATAGTACAATAGGCTCTGCCACATTATGCATGCGCATTATGCATGCACACCATGCTTGTACATTCTGACGTTTTTTGTGTCTATGAAAATCGCAGTACCTGTTGTCTGCTCACAGTTAATCACCTTCGACATATGGTGACCTCTATAGACATGCAGTTAAACCGTGTAGTACTATTACTTGATTATTTGCTTCCAAGCAGCACTTAGCCTGTAGCTATCCGAAGAGTATTTTTTTTAGTTCTCTCAATTTTGATAGATTCTATAATTAGTCTTGGCCAGTAGTAACTAGTTTTGCATAGATCTTCAACATTATAAAAATCAATTGAGCGTCCTTGTTGGCACGCGTGTTTTGCCACTGCCGACAGTTGTATTTGGGAGTATGTAATATTCCTTTGATGTTCTTTTAGTCTCGTGCTTATCATTCGTCCTGTCTGACCAACATAGCATTTGCCACAAGAGCAATTAATCCGGTACACATCTTATATTGATAGCTTTGGTAATACATCTTTAGTACCACAAATTAGTTTCTGTATTTTATGTAACCTGCCAAATCTGACTCACATGTTTTGTTTTTCCCAAAATCTGGCTAGTTTATCAGTTACTCCTGCAATGTACAGTATTCTAATAGTTTTAATTGCTTGGTCAGTTTCAATGCTAGTGCTATTTGTACGGGACATGGCATTCAGTGCCCTGTTGATTTGTGCATCATTGTAGCCGTTCAATTGCAGCACTTCTTTAACACGTTTAATTTCACTTGACTATCACCATCCCACACTTTCTTAGCTCGATGTATGAACATCTTGATGCGAGATTTTCTGTGCGGGGTGATGGTGTGACTGCATTCAGATCGGCATCAGTGTGTGTTTTCTTTCAGTAAACGCTGTGTTAATTTACCGTTTTGGCCGCACCCGCAGAATATCCATAAAATGGGAGAGTTCTGTCAACTTCCACTTCCATGGTGAACTGGATGGACGGGTTTTGGGAGTTGAGATTATTTAGAAATTCGTTAAGTGTTTCTTTGCTGTGTGGCCTAACCACCAATGTGTCATCCAAATATCTAAACCAAGCAGAGGGTTTAAGTGTGCTTGAAATGATTGCTTTTGCTTCAAAATCGTCCATGTACAAATTGGCAATCACGAGAGATGAAGGAGCGTTCATTGCCGCTGCTTCCTTTTGTTTATAGAAATCATCTTTCCAGAAGAAATAGGTGTTCTATAGACAGTGCTCAGCTAGTCGTGAGCTATATTTGGCTACACCTGTCTTCGTTACCAGATTATGGAATAATTTAATTGTCTCGTTCACCAGAACCCTCGTGAACAAAAGAAGTCACGTCAAAACTTACTAGAATATAATTAAGGTTAAACTTAATATCTTTAATTATATTTAGAAGATTTTCTGAGTTTTTAATGAACGAAGAGCTCCTACTGATGTAGGGCTGTATTTGTTTTGTTACGTATTTTGCTCATTTGTATGTGCAGCGCCTATTGTACTAACTATGGGTCTTAATGGGACATCAGGTTTGTGAATCTTTGGCAGCCCACAAAGTCTTGGTGGTTTTGACGCCCTTGGTTTGTAAAGGAATTGGCATGTTTTGTTTACGTGACAAACCTTACTAATTGGCTATATCGGGTGGTGGCGGGTTTAACGACACATTTATATTTACATGATATATCCCAAAAAAAACTATTATGGATATTGGTCGCGAAAGCCTACGTTTTAAACCGTATTGCCTTAACTAACTGCTGGGACAAGTGCTGTTAGCGAGCACCTATGAAGGCCGATACGGCACACAAAGGAGTAGGTGGCCAACACCACGCCCGTTCGCCTTTGTCTCCCTACTGGCGATGTTTACACACCGCACCAGGTACTCATTTGAGGCCAAGTTAACCTAAGGGAGGCTGAGGACCGGGACCACCTGCACCACCCCTATCACTCCAACCAGCCAGTGGTGACCGACCCCCGTCTGTGACATACTGGCTCCAGGAACTCGACTACATTGTGGAAAGTGGGGGGGGGGGGGGGGGGGGGGGGGGGGGGGGGGGGGGGGGGGGGGGGGCTGCTAGCGAATAGCTGCCAGTGATTATTGGTTACATGACAGATGGAATCCCTGAAGTTGCCCCCCCCCCACCCACTTCGCCATGGATAAGAGGTTTCGACTGTGCTATAATTGTATGCAATCTAGGCAACTATCGGCACTTGGTTATTCTCTGGGGTGGGTGGGTTTGCCCGATCACTGCATGGTTCCGTGTGTGCGCCACCTCCTCCCCCTTCGCAGGTGCCACCTCGACGGACTCTGGAGCAGCTGCACGACACGTGGGAGCGGTGACTTGGACGTGCGCCCTCTCGCTGATGCTCGCCTGCGCCGCGTGGCCGGCGTGACGGCACTCGCCTCGCGTCTCCGTGTCGTCCTTCCCTGTAACACTTCGCAATCGCTATGAATGGTGGTGACCAAAGCCGTCAACGTTCATCTGAGACGGATTGATGGATGGACGAACGAATAAACGGATGGACAGGCGCGACGGCACCCGCTTCGCATCTCCGTGTCGTCCTCATTCCCTTTAACACTTCAGAGTCGCTCTGAACAGTGCTGACCAAAGTTGCCAACGTTCATCCTAGGCAGATGGATGGACGGACTTATAAATGGACAGATGGACGGACTTATAAATGGACAGACGGAC